CCTGGTCACGGCCGACAAATGATCTTCCAGTGTCAGCCGTGGATCCAGGAGGACACCCAAGTTGCGCGCCCTCTCTGAGGGGGCCAAAGTTTCGCCCCCTATAGACAGCGATGGAATCAGCTGACTATGCCGGGGCGCCGGCAACCACAGCCACTCGGTCTTGGAAGGGTTGAGTCTGAGTCTGTTCCTCCCCATCCTTGGTGGACTCAGGGGCTACTGCCAATTTCATGGACTCGGCTTTTGCCACACAGTGGTCCATTCCCCAGCAGCAGTTGTCACCGCCAGTCTTGGTGGAGACGATTGATGGGCGGCCCCTTCGTTCCGGCCCAGTGGTTGCTGCAACCAGACCCCTTCACATGCGTATTGGGCTGCATGTGGAAGAAGCCGTGTTCTATGTGGCTACCGTTTCCCACTTTCCAGTGGTGTTGGGATTGGAGTGGTTAAGGGCTCATGATCCGCAGATTATTTGGTCGTCTGGGGCAGTGCGGTTCCCCGGCAAGAAGTGTGCCACCCATCACCTGCATGTCTGCGCAGGAAATGTGGCTACCTATGTGGACCTGGACCTACCAGCAGAGTTGGGGGATTATGCAGATGTCTTTGGGGAAAAAGAGGTGGATCAGTTGCCCCCGCATCGGTCTTATGACTGCCCGGTTGATTTAGTGCCTGATGCCAAATTGCCAGTTGGCCAGATTTACTCTCTTGTCGGAACCGGAGTTGGCAGCCTTGAGGAACTTCATCGACAAGAACCTCCGGAAGGGGTTTATATGGCCTTCCACCTCCCCGTTGGCTGCGCCAGTGCTCTTTATGAAGAAGAAGTCAGGGGAGCTTAGACTGTGCTGTGATTACCGGAAACTGAATGCCATCACGATCCGTAATCGGTACCCACTCCTGCTCATCCCCGAACTCATCAAGAGGCTCCGCCAGGCCAAAATATTTACTAAGTTGGACTTACGGGGAGCTTACAACTTAGTCCAAGTTCGAGTGGGAGATGAGTGGAAGACGACCTTCCGGACGCGTTATGGACATTTTGAGTACACTGTTATGCCCTTTGGCTTGACCAACGCGCCGGGAGTGTTCATGCACTTTATGCATGACGTGTTCAGGGACCTGTTGGATAAGTTTGTGGTCATCTACCTTGACGACATCCTGATCTACTCGTCCTCCCCACGAGAGCATTGGAACCATGTTCGGCTTGTGTTGCAACAATTGCGGGATAACCATCTCTTTGCCAAGCGTGAGAAGTGCCAGTTTGCGCAAACCACGATCGATTTTCTGGGCCATCACATCTCACCCGAGGGTGTGGAGATGGATTCGGAGAAAGTAAAGTCACTGCAGGAATGGCAGCCTCCGCGGAGGGTCAAGGACGTGCAGCGACTGTTGGGGTTTGCGAATTATTACCGCACGTTCATTCCTCGCTTCGCAACCCTGACCGCTCCCCTTTCCAATCTGTTAAGGAAAGGGGTGAAGTTCCGCTGGGGCGCTGAGGAGCAGGGGGCCTTGGATGCCATTAAGACCGCGTTCGCCTCTGAGCCTATCCTCAAGCATCCTGATCCCTTAAGGCCATTCGTGGTGGAGACGGATGCATCGGATGTGGCCATCGGGGCTGTGCTTCTGCAAGCCTATGCTCCCGCAGGTACCTTGTTCCCATGTGCCTATTATTCACGGAAGCTGTCGCCCCCCAAACGGAATTATACGATATGGGACAAGGAGTTGTTCGCGGTCAAAGTCGCTTTTGAGACATGGCGGCACCATTTAGAGGGGGCCCGTCACCAAATCGAGGTTCGAACAGACCATCGGAACCTAGAGCACCTACGGACTGCCAGAACGCTAAATCAGCGACAGGTGCGATGGTCACTGTTTTTTGCGAGGTTTGACTTTTGGGTGACCTATGTCCCTAGCGGGCAGAACCAGCGTGCAGACGCCCTGTCCCGGAAGCCCGAATTCACCCGAAAGGAGGACAAGATCATGCCCAGAATGGACTTCCGGTGGCGAGGCTTCGCCGAAGGAGGCTTTCTTCTTAGCCTCCCGCCCGGGTCTGTGTCAAAGCCGTCAAAACAGCGGGGATCAGCTGTTTTGCGGCTCGGAACTCTCTCCCTGGGTGAAGGGGAGTGAGTGAGTTTGGTTTGGATAGGGGTTGAGTTCCCTAGTCCCCCCAGGAATGATTCTGGGGGGATGAAGGTGATGAACTCCCCCGGAGTCCGGACCTCCCTCCACAGCTCGGAGTGCCTTCGCTCCTTGGAGCGAAGCTAGACATCACCGGCACTGCTGCTACTTTGTATCTATTTGTGAGTAACTTTTGATCAGACGGAACCAGACAGGGGATTTTTGCTTTAGATAAAAACTGTGACTTTAACTCAAAGAGCTAACTGGGATTTTTGTCATTTGTGATAAGTGAAAGTGAGAAGAAAATGGCCGCGGAAGCGCTGCTTCTTTGTAACAAAAGGAAAACTTTCACTTTGTTTACAGTTGTGGAATGATACATTTTAAAGGACTTTAAAGAATTTCTCTCAAGTCAAGTTTTTTCAAGTTGATATTTGCTGTTGTGAGTTTTAAAAATAATCTGGCAGAATTGCTTCAAAACGTATTGGTGTTTCTGCATTGCCTAAAGCAGCTATTTCTTCTCCTGTCGTGCAAATTCAACAACAAAAACCTAGATCCCCCCCGCCATCACCTCCTCCTTCCATTACACTTAAAGACCTACAAGAGGCTTTAGCTAAGTCCTCATTGCAGACTGTGAAACAAACAGAAGAACTTCTTGACAAGAAAAATCAGGAACTTTGTGAAAATATATCACACATTTTTCAAGGACTAGCAGTTCATATTGATCGTATAGAAGGGCGAGTGGATGACTTGGTGGAGAAAATGGAAGGAACAGAGGATAGACTTGAGAAAGTAGAAGAGGGGGTGGAAATTCTTCAAAATGATATGGTAATGTCACAATATAGAGATATGGAATTTGCTCTGAGAATAAGAGGTCTTAAGGAGGATCCACAAGAGAAACTTAAAGAGGAAATTGTCACAGCTCTGGCCCTGGCTTTGGAATGCAACCCAGAGGTGATCTATGGAGAAATAGAAATTTTTTTTAGAGTAAACTCCTGGGTTGCACGTCAGAGAAATATACCTAGAGATGTGGTTGTTTATTTTACCACAAGTGTACGCCGTAATGAAATTATACAACTTTTTTATCAGCAGAAATTTCAAATTGCGGCACAAGATATTATACTCTTAAAAGAAATACCTTCTAAGATTTTAAGAGGAAGAAAGGATTTTAACTTTTTGGCCCAGGAGTTAAAGAAGCGGCAGATGCCTTTCAGATGGGAGATTCCTGTGGGCATTGTGGTAAATTATGCAGGGACCAGATATAAATTAAATTCTGTTCAAAAAGCTAAAGATTTTTATCTATCGGTCCTGAAAGCTGATTTACCACCATCAGCAGCATCTAAAGCACAGGAAGACCTGATGGAGCAACTAGTGGTGGAATTGCCTGGGGCCATGTCACTCTCTGTTGGAGATCCTCAGAATCAACAAAAGCTGGAAGTGAATCCTAAGGAGCAAAGATTGACTCGTGCAGCTTATAGGCGTAAAGAGAGAGAACAACAACAAAAAGAAACTGTGCCAATAATATATTCACCGACTTCGGAGCCAGTGGGAGGTGCGAGGCCAAAGAGATCTGTAACGACAGACTTGCAGGGAATGCTTAATAAGCTTCACAAGCCAAAGGATGGTTAAGTTGATAATGTTGAATGTGAATGGTTTGATTCTGTTATGGAAAAGGAATTATTCTAA